TTTTCTAACCCTTTCTTTCGTTTATCCTTATCAGAACTGGATCAAGCAAAGTGGCAAACAGACTGGACACTATTGGACTGGAACGAGTGGCGTGTGGAATGGAGCAAAAAGAGAAGCTGAAGCAGATTTTGAAAGAAATAGAGGATGGATGTTTTGGTTTTGAACTGATAATCACTTTGAAACATCTGTCAGTTTTAAATGATTTGAAGAGCTGAACATGTGCAGATTTATGCAAGTGTTTTAAATATACCATACAAATAAAAACAAAGAGGAGCGAAATTAGCGAATCATGTATTCCAAGTTGTATTCCTATAGTCAACGGTGGGGCCTGACTCTAGAGGGTTATGCTACTGTTTAAAATTTTGGGGTCAGTAGGGTTTGTTTTTTTTAAGAACTATTCAGCAAGGTTTTATGAAATTCATCAAACGTGACAGTAAATATATTCATAATGTTTCAAAAGATTTCTATTGTAAATAAATGCTGCTCTCTTGATCTTTCATCAAAGAATCCTGAAAAAAATATTAAGTGGCACAACTGCATTCAACAGTGATAAGAAAAGTTTCTTAAGGGATTTCTGAAGGATCATGTGACACTGAAGACTGGAGTGATGGCTGCTGAAAATTCAGTTTTGCCATCACAGGAATAAATTACATTTAGATTATATTTAAACAGAAAACTGTAATTGTAATATCACAATATTACTGTATTTTTGATCAAATAAATATAGCCGTGGTGAGAACAAGAGACTTCTTTCAAAATATTTTTTAAATATATCTTACCAACCCCGAACTTTGAAACAGTGTGTTTAGTGTGTTTTTGTACATGTTTTAATACAAAACAACAACAAAAAAGCCACACAAATGAATAAAAGAACACCGCTGTAAATACAAACCACACTGAAACCAAGAATCCAGTGGAATGCTGCACTTTGATCAATGAGAATTTTACCACATATCATGTATTCTCATTAAAAAAAATGTATAATACACATATTTCAGCTACATCACTGATATTGATTAATAATTATTTTAATTCAATTTGATGGAAACAGTTGCCAACATACTATATTAAAAGTGGGGGAAAAACAGGCCTAATGGACTGAGCAACTATAGTAACTTTTGAGATATGAATAAGCACTGATTTTGTTGAATGATCCAAAGTCAACATGCTAAAATAAATGCTGTGAATTTAAAGCTCACAGTACTGCTCCATAATGAACCTTCCTCAAGTGTCTTCTGAGATTCTCTGTTCGGTTGAATCTCCGTCCACAGAGCGAACAGTTATATGGCCTTTCTCCTGTATGAATGCGCTCGTGCTTTTTCAGATCGGCTAAACGACTGAACCTGAACTTGCAGCACTTGCAAACGAAAGGTCTCTCGTTTGAATGGCACACGAAGTGCGCTCCGAGGCTGGAGGGCGTTGCGAAGGTCTTGCCGCACACGTGGCAGCTGTGCAGAATCTCCCTGCTCTCACTGACGCTGGGAGTGCCGTGAATGCCCCCCGTTTGGACCATATTCTCCACCCGTGACCTAAGAATGTGTATGGAAGCAGAATTTAGTAATTTGTCTAGTTGGTTACAGTGGACAACGTTGTTGGAAAAGGACGAGACAGGCAGCTGGTTGTGTTCGTTTGATGGAGGAACGTCAGGAGCTTGTGTTGTCACATTGTCTGTCTCTTCCCTAACAGAAAGTTCCAGAGGCTCTGGTTTAGATTCCTCTTTGATTCTGTTTGAGCCCAGTGGTGTCTCAGTGTCGCTGGCCGCTGGACTCTCTCTGCTGCCAGCGTTTGGGACTCTTCTTGGAGGGCTACTCTTTACCCTGGAGAGGGGTCTCTGCTTCTTCAAAGAATAGTCACAGGTCCCTTGCGGAGTATGATGTCTGTTGTCTAAAGTCATCTCATCTAAAACCAGCTTCATGTGAACAGGATTGTCACTCGGACATTGTGGCTGCTCTGTCTGCTTGCTCACAGCTGAATCTCCAAGATAAATGAGACCTTCCTGTGCATGATCCTCCTCTAAATGGGGCTTCTCAATGGGCAAAGAGACTTTCAGGACTTCATCTAAAAGTATAAAAAAGATGATTGAAAATTTGTACATGCAAGTAAGTAGACAAGTTAATTCCACAACTATAAACTCGTCATAATCTCACGTGAATCCCCAGTCATGGTCTCCTGGAGTTGTTTGAGCTTCTGCTGGAGGTTCTGATTCTCCAGGCGTGTTCTGGCAGACTCTTTCTGATACTCTAACACAGCCCGACCCATGAGCTGCAACACTTCCTGTACAGCAGCTGTGAGGAGCTCAGCTACATTTGCGACGAGGAGCTCCATCTGAGACATTCTGATAGGACCTGCTCAAAGAGGAAACAAGCTTCTGTCATGGTTTACTTAACCTGATGTTGTTCCAAACCGGCATCATTTTCTTCTTTGGAACATGTAAGGAAAATATTCTGAGAAATGTCTCATTGTTTTGCCCATTATCCATAAAACGAAAGACAAAGGTCACCAAAACATATATTTCGTGTTCCACATAAGAAAGAAAGGTTTGGAAAGACGTGGGCGAGTAAATGATGACAGATGCTCATTTTCGGCTGAACTCCGATCTAATGAAATGCGAGGTGCGCGCAGGACTGCGTCTGAACCATAACAATGAATATAATAATAATACTACACTGACTAAATGTGTTAATTTAACTTAATTTCGGAGAACTTGTACAGGTAAACAGTGGCTTAATGTTGCGTGCATTTTAACAAACCCAATTCTCTCTTTGCGCACTAGTCACTCAACGCTACATATTTTTTAATAAAAACGAATATTTACGATTTTATTGTAATTATATCACAATTACACAATAACACCTACCTCTCTGTTCTCAAGCGCAAAGACAGACTATAATGAGGCTATAATGTTAGCAAGGTAAACCGTGAACGTCCGAAAAGCAAGGTCTCTCATGATATGTATATCTTTCAGCAAATGTCAAGACTGTGACGTTTCTGCTGGCCGTGTTGTGGAAACGCATGTTGGTGACGTACTACTTCCGGTGTACGCTGCCAAATATTCAATGGCGGGTTTCCGGTTTGTTTACTCTGTCTCTAGGGTTACAAACAATGAACTGTAACCTATCGGTTTATGGTGTTTATCACTTGATTAATCACTCGAATAGGAACGGCCTCAGCCTCACGTCGTGTTTTGTTTTTGGTAAAAAATGTTACGTAAGAACACAGAAGAAACAAAGTCATACATGTTTGTAACGACACGAGGCTGAGACCGGTCCTCTTCAAGTTTCAGTTTACTATATACAGTATACGCTTCAAGTGATTAACTTTAAACATGTTAGTGTTCACTGATTGTAACCACAGAAACAGCGTAAACACAGGAAGCAGTTCGCGCACATAAACTGGTTTATTACCAACATTCACAGTATCGTTCGTATGGGTGATGAACGATGACAATTTTATGTTTGGATCAACTTCATTTAAGGAGTTTCCCCATTGTTTATTAACATTGATACCCCATTAACTCACTGAACGTCGTGTTAAACAGTGACCGGATTTATTTCAGAGGAGAGAGAAACTCAAGTGCAACATATGCTACTGTACTGGCATATCAGAGTATAGTCTGTGTTAAATCCACTAGGTGGAGGTTACAAGTGCATCACGGTAATTCTATGAGCTAATTTAAAATATTCTGGCTGCTCACAAATTACAGCTGCTGCAAGACATGCTATAAACTAAGTGAAGCTTCCACTTAATAGTTTTCGTTGTAGGCTTTAGAAAAAAATAACACTTGATGTAGGGTTAATATATCACATTTACTGCAATGTGTCTGTTCCAAAATACAGGTTAGTCTCACTTGAGCTAAAAAAATATTCTTTTAACTTTGGCTAATGTCAAATAGGGCTGGGAACACATATCTGGTTCGAAGGAAATTAAAAAAAAGAAGAAAATGGAAAAAAGAAGAAGCTCTTTAGCTCACAAAACCATTAGTAATAGAAACACTGTAATGTTTTTTTCACATAAATATTTAACAGTCGAATAGCAATTTCTATAAAATAACGAGATGCAATAGTTGACTAAAAACAACAGTAAAAACAATTGCCATTTGAGTATCAAACACTAAGTTAGGTGATAGGATCTCCTATGCAGCAGTTCTACCATGCTTGTTGAAATGTTAACCATGTTTCAAAAAACTAGAATAGAACAGTTAAGGTAACTCGAAATGTTTTAACTGAACCATGTGACACGTACAGGACACCGTTAGGATTGCAGCCTTACTTGTAACTTACTGTAACAAAGAAAACGCTTTCCTATGTGTTGAGCTATTCTAATAGTGACCAAGACCTGCTAAACTACAGCAAACAGTGAAGAGCATGCAGATTATTGTCTTAGGTTCCTTTGGGTGGGCTCCACTTCAAGGCCGTAGGGTCAATAGTCTTGTTGCTTCCACGTTTTGTCTCTTTGGTTTTCCAATCATCAATCAGATCCTAAAAATCATTCAACCATTTAAATGCATTAACACACACACACACACACAAAATAATCAAAATAACAAGCCTGTAATTCATGTAAACAGTCTGTTGCTAAAATGACTACAGACATTACATTACAATTACAGTTACCTGTCTTTTTAAGATCAGGTGCTTCCCTTTCCAGTACTTCAGCATCTGGAGTGACTGTAAAGTGCTGACAATGTCTACAGGATTGACAGCTGTTTCTTGACTGATTTCTGCTCCCAAGTGTTAATATATGACAAAGAATGAAAACAATTATTCATAAGATTAAGTGTTACATCCACAAATAGAAAAGGAAGATAAAGGAACACAAACTACTGTTCAAACATGTATGGTCTGTAAGATTTTTTAATGATTTTGAAAGAAGTGTCTTATGCTCACCAAGGCTGCATATTTATATAAATACAGTAAATATCGTGAAATATTTTAACAGTTTAAAATAACTGTTTTCTATATGAATACATTTTAAATGTAATTTATTCCTGTGATTGGAAAACGGAATATTTAAGCATCCATTACATCTAACATTCTAAATGTCTTTATTGTCACCTTTGATTAATTTAATGCATCTATGCGGAATAAAATAATTTATTTTTAAATAATTAATTAATTAAATTTTTTTTAAAGTACTGAACATAACACTAAGTACCTTTAATGGAGATCTCTTTGCCCTGGAAGTTGTGCAGGTAGCGCAGGAGCACTTCCTTCCAGTAACTCCTGTAACTGATGAGTCCCAGGTCAGAGAGAGGCCGTTCAGGGGAGCCAACCTTCTCCTCTACTTTGGACAGCAAGTAACCTGTGCAGAAACAAGCCATTCACACATTAACACATTCATGTCTTCCATTAACTGCAGCATCAAAAAGTACACATGACCATATAGTAAAAGAACTATTCTAACATGTTCTTAAGGGTTTTTTTAAGACAAAATGACATGGCATAAATTATGTACTCTATGACTGTAATTGTAACTTTAACGTCACC